AAGTTTTAGTACCGTACTTGAGAGAGAGGGAGAGAGAGAGGGAGAGAGATGAATACAAGAGTAGCATTATTGCACGTGGAATGAAGGAGAGAAGGTCCTACCTGTTCCTTTCGGATAATATAATGTATAGATACAAAAAAAAATTTTTGCTGCTGAAAAGAAAAAAGAAAAAGAGAAAAGATTGGTGAACTCATCATCATCATCATCATCGTGCACTTGCATTCCCCATCTGCAATCAAACTCTAAAAATTTTTATTCCTATTCCTCCTTTTCTTTCAAGGAAAATTCTTTCAATCATCAAGTTAAAATATATATATATATATGTATATATATGAATACACCCATGTGGCTCGCTGTCGCTACGAATAAAAGTCATTTATATAGTACTCAAATTCCAGCTTTTTACGGCCAACAAAAAGCAAAGAAATTATACTTACCTGGGAAGCTTTTACCCCATTCCTCTTCAAATTCTGTAACAAGTCTTGAATTCAAACTCAAATGCACCAGGTTTTCCGTCGATGATTTGTGAATGTCTGTCTGAGTTCGGGTGCATAATAATCTTTACGACCAATCCAATTTTGTACAGGATATCAGTCGGCGCATGCTCTCTTAGAAGACGTTTCGTTAATGCTCAGGGTCTATTACATGCCTCAAGGCACACCGAAAAAGAAAGAAAACCGAATATATATACATGATAATCAAGTCTTTTTAACTCTTTTAAGGTAATATGTTTTCTTACACTGAGGGAGATGAAATATGGTTTCACTTGTTCAACTTACACATCAGCAAAGAGGAAAGAATACATACACCGCTCAAGCAAAAAGCTCAAGAATACCTTCCTAAACTTGCTGATCCATTCACGATTAGTACGTTTGTGTTAGTGCTATTGTGTATATACGTTCGGAGAAAGGTCATGCTCTAGGCTCATGTTTTTCACCACCTTCTCTGCTTTCAGTACTACCGCGCTCATTGCTTTTCCTTTTTTGGGATTTCATCTTGGAAGTGGGATTTCAGTCCAATCCAACATTGGTAATAGTCATGATCCATAAAGGGAGACTCAAGAGCTGAACGGCAGATTCTAGGGATCAGACATGACTCGAACATAAAAGCCATGGTATCCGTGATTTTACATGGTCCTGCTTCATTTCCAAGAGCAATGGTTGCCTGCAAATCATATTAAACGTTTAGAGCGGACTCCTCCACTCGTGGTTGAAAGCAAAGAGTGAGCAATCAAATTTAAGCAGCAACAGCATATAGATCTAGCAACCATTATACCATTGTAAAAAAAGGGAGGAGTTAAATAAAGCTCATGCCAATTTTTTTTAACTTCACAATTTTCAACAATATCAGTTTTAAAATCACAATCAATGATTGCCCTTTGGTGAAGAAATTTTAATTCCAGCAGCCGGGTGTAGTCCAGAGTTCTTATATATGGATTAAAAAACCAGAACCCATAAGAAAGCAAAATCAAGCTATAAAAGTCTGTAACAGATTTGCGTTGAGAAGTTTACTTCATAGGTCTTGGTATCAGGACCATGTGGGGTCATGCAGCTGTGAAGGCTTGCACCACCTGGGAGAAAGCCATCAGCTTTTGCCTGCAAACAACCTTCTGCTTGAATTTTAACAGCAAATGAAAGAAGTATAATGAAAATAAAATAAAAATTGCTATTAAAATTATGGATACTAGAACAAAGCTATAAAACCTAAGGAATATGCAGTCATGCTATTCTCTGTCTTCCTGACAGATATCAGCATCAATAATGAACCTATATTCCAAAATTTCTATTGAGAAGATTTTAGAAAACATACAACACAAGAAGTAACTAAAGCTGATATATAGCTGCAGAAACATTAATATCTTATGGTGCCATCCATGACATTAAAGAAAATTATTTGCTTCGTGCCATCCATGACATTAAAGAAAATTATTTGCTTTGTGCCATCCATAACATTAGAAAAAATTATTTGCTTTGTGCAATCTCTCTCTGCCCAACATCAACATCAACATCAACAGCAACCAATATATTTATTGAGTTTGAACTGCTAAAAATCTGCAGATGATAAGATAAAAGTTAATACATAATAAAGGTTACCTCATATCCACCATAAACCAGGCCCATAAATTCACTCATACAATTGCGATGATAATATGGAGGTCTGAAAGTATGCTCAGCAACCAACCATCTGGGAGGGAATATAACGAAATCAAGCAATGCCACGCCAGGCTTATCAGTTGGTGCTGTCAAAACTGCAAGAAACTGCATAAGTTTTACAAGAAACTATGCTTCTAGAGTTAAAGGTATCCAAGGCATGCAACACCCACCTGTATTAATTGATGGATCACTATGATCAACCAAAACAGTATTATAAGGACAGAACTTTCTGAGATCATACTGCAAAAGTATGTTTTCCCGTCAAAACCTTGCTAAGAGAAACTTGTTAAAGTTTGTATACATTATGTGACAAAAATAAGACATAGAAGGACAAAAAGCTGCAGGCTAAAATGCCCCAGTTTTCTTGATGTTGTACAAAAAAAAAAGATCGTCAATATAATGAATGATAAACTGACCTTGTAAGGGACATAATTACCATGCCAAGCAACCACATTGAAAGGAGAGAAATCTTGTTTCGCAGTGAAGAGTTCCCCTCCAAACTTTTGTACAATAATGTACCCTGGACGGTATCCCTCTTCAAACCAGGCAGTTGGAGAAAGGAAATCTCTTGGAGCAGCAAGACCATTAGCACCTAAACATAATAAAAAATTGTACTGTAATTGTGGTTCAAAGTGCCCGCAATAACTTCCATTGAATAATAAAATAGAAATAAATTTTTCGTATAGCTCACATCTGAATGGGGTATTACGTACCTATTGGTCCAAGGTCAGGAAGTTGAAAATGGGTTCCAAAAATCTCAGCAACATAACCACGAGATGGGCCATCTGGCAAGTCTACAGCAAAACGGAACCCTTGAGGTAAAACAGCAATTTCTCCAGGTGATACCAGCATTCTTCCGCATTCAGTGGTGATCCATAGCCCTAAATATCAAATACAGTATGGAGTCTTAGAAGCAACCCCTGATATATGGATATAAAGTTCTGGTCACAGACGAAGTATAACCAGCTCAACAGACAAAGTATTACAAGCTGCGAAAAAAAGTCATAAAGCTGATTTTTCCCCAATATTTGGGAAATTCTGGAATTCCAATATTTTGTATATGTTCTTTCTTACAATAAGGAAGCTGATAAGATAGAGAAGCAAGCGGAAACAAATTTATGTTTTTGTCAGGTCTCCTAGTTTGAGATCACAGGCTTGTCTACTGCAAAGTCTTGAAGCAAGCATGCAGCTTGCTCGCTGGACTCATGATCTTATGGCCTATTATCAAGACAAGTTGGAGAGAGTCCACGAACTCTAGATAAATCGTCAACTTTTCATAAATTTCTCGGATTATTTACCATTAATATAGAAGGTATCTATAGGGAGCTCTCCTCCTACAATTCAGTATATTGACCTAACAACTTAGGTAAATATAAAAGATGGTGACAGGTCAGGTTTGCAGCGGATTCCGCAAAAATTACGAATCTGACCCGCTTTGAGTATTAGAAAATTCAAACACACCCCTGATCCACGCAGGTTCTATAAACTCATTTTATTTCGCTGCAACCGAGTTTCCAGAAAAACCTGGCCTGACCTGGCTCGGATTAATATATAAACATATTACATATACACTTGAGTCAGATTTGGATAGAATTTTTTGCTTATACATCTTAACCAACCCAACCCAACCCAAGTGGGTCACAATTTTTTTTTACCTAGTAAATTAAGAGAATGATCTAAATAACATTAAAGGAATTTCCTATTACAGATTTCCTTAACAATGTTAAAAACAACCTATTATAACATAAAGCTAGAAAACTACTTACGAGAATTTCTTTTTATTTGGCAATGCCTTATATTCAACTAGTTAAGATTTCCAATTTGCATATTGAACTCTAAAGCTGAAAAACTCTGTACTACTGTACCTTTTATACCTCTCTGATTTATTCTTACGGACGTTTACGGAGAAGTCTTTCTGCCTTTCTACTTCTTGATGTTTCCTCTTAAGTTAATACACGAGATCAGAGAAGCAATTTGTTTGTTGTTCAATCTGGTGCGTAATATCAGTCCCTTCCTCCAAAAAGTTCTTGTCCACAAGCACCAAGCATAAATGGCGCTGAATCATTCATGGAATCTTCCCATAAGGCATCTGCAGATGAAATGACGTCCCAATAGATTACTTTCCTACGCTACCTAACCATTGGTCAAAATTTCTTGCAACATAAGAATAATTTCGCTGGAATGAGTTGATGGCATTGTAGGCTCAACAGTCTCAATTCCATTAACATGATACATGGAATCAGGATTCATTGGTTGTTTCAGATAACAGTAACTTGTAAGCCACTTGGCGTATATTGACCTTAATGGAAAAGGAACCATAAAACTTGGAGGATGTTTCTTAGAAGTCTTTGATGCTAATATTAGTTGGCAGTAAGGTAAAGCTTCAACAGTACTTGAACACTAAATTGAGAACCCTACTCTGATGTTTGTCATAGACCTAATTAATTGTTTTCTAGGCTTGAAGAAGGCCATCTCGCAAATCAGACAAGGATTATAAAGCTCAAAATCCATAGCCTCCAACTTAGCTTTACCAGGATAATATGAAAGGAGTCTTTGGCGGCGCACGACCACAAACAACCTCAAAAGGAGAGGTCTATAGAGAGGTAATAAGACTCATATTGCAATGGACAATGAAGTCCTATTCGTTTAGCGCTTAGGATAGTAACTAGTGAAGAACTTTATGTACATTATGATGGTGCAATTCACCACCCCGGTTTAGTCATACAATCAGTGTAATATGTGAAGCTAAATAATAACTCATGCCACACAGCGAAAGGGCTCAGGCCAGAAGTGATCGTAAAGGTGACATAATCATTACTCACAATCGACTCGAGCATGCCATAAAGCTTAAAAATGGAAAAGAGAACTATGCATGCCACACTGGGATGAGATAAAGGGCAAAAAATAAGGATATTGGGGAATCTGTCCACCGTAGCTGATGAGACCAATTTACTATGAGAACGAGGTAGAACATCAATAAAATTTATGGATATATCAAGCCACACATGGCCAGAGACAGGTAGGGGTTGCAACAAAGGAGCAAAACAACATCTGGAACAAAGTAATTAAAGCCAAGGTTGGAACAAAAAGCAACAATTAGTACTCTAAAAGTACTAGATTCCCATATGGTGTTGGACTATCGAAGAAAATAACTTTGGGAGGGGAGGATTTCCATGGGTGTATCCAGTGGAAGATGGGATCAGGCAACAGGGTGAGTTTTTGACTAGATGGAGCACTTGTAAAATGATTTCCTACAATTTGTTCCTTAGCTTAGAATAAAGAGACAACATTGACAGGAACTTTCTACAATCTAGGGAGTAATGGTGTCTGGATGTTGGACCTGGCCAGAAATCTTAATAATTAGGAGATGAAGGAATACATTAGTTTATTCCAATATTTGTCCCAATGTGAAAGTCCAAATGAAGCCCTAGACGAGCCAATTTGGAAGCACAATCCAAAAAGCGCATTTTCAATGAAGTCCTACTAACTGCATTCAGCAAGAGAGAAAGAAGTATTGCGAAACTCCCATGGAAACAGATTTGGAGGATCAATGCACCACCCAGAATGGCTTCTCTACTTAGGAAGCGGCAAGGAAATAAATTTTGGCTATAGATAATTTGATTAAAAAGTAAAAAACCATTGTGAAGGGATGCTACCTGTGTAAGAGAGAAGTACAGGTCAGACAATCATCTTCTTCTTTGGTATTTGCTCTGAGATACGGCCCACAATCTTTTGGTGATTAATTAGGTAATTCCTGACTCGGTAAAAGAAAAGATTTAGGTGTAGAGAGGCATCCACGGGGATAAACACTACAACAAGAATCTAGGTTTTATCCCTTTATTTACCTTTGGGTTATTTGGAAAGAAAGAAATAGAAACATTTTAGGATATAAAATTTTCTTTTGATAATATTAAGGATGTTTGACCTCAGACACTTGATGTTTTTTGATAGAAGGTCATCATCTCTATACTTTTAAGGATTTAGAAGACTCAATAAATATGTTGATGGATTTGTAAAGCTCCATAAGAGATGCACGTTCTTGCTGTCTACATATTTACAAAATACTAATTTTACTCTCAAACAATATGTCTACTTTAGGATCTTCTTATTTTGTCTATTTACTTTACTTGATGAAATCTCAAAATCAAGTATTGAAATATCAAAAATAGAAAAAATATAAAAATCAGAATTTGTTTTCCTAACAATCGAAAGCTAGTGAAACTTGCGATTCTCATGAAAAATACGAATGCTTCGAAAATCAAACAATGTGTCTATTTACTCTAAAACAATGTCTACTTTAGGATCTTCTTATTTTGTCCATTTACTTCACTTGGTGAAATCTCAAAATCAAGTATTGAAATGTCGAAATAGAAAAAATATAAAAATCAGAATTTGTTTTCCTAACAATTGAAAGCTAGTGAAACTTGTGATTCTCATGATAAAATATGAATGCTTCGAAAATCAAAGATTCTGAAGAATAAGTGAACCAAATAAGAACCACAAAAATTCATAAAAGGAAAAATCACCAAATATTCATTATTATTGTTAGTAACCAACTAAATTCGGGGTCCGTATCTTTGGTGGGCCTCTTTATTCTCTTCAACAAGAATTCCACCATCTTCAATTTCAACAATATCATTGCTTACAACTAAATTAAGAGATCTATCACTAGGAGACTCAACTTATGCAGTAGAAATTATAAATCTTTCACAACCTCCTTAATTACATCATCTAGTAACTTGTCATCATTTGTTGAGTGGTAATGGTGATCTCCTTTGTTACTTCACGTATTAACATTTTCTCATGAGTTGTATCATCAATATTGGTGACATCATCTTGTTGCATAGAAAGGAACAGGTTGTTGCATATGTTGATCATTACATTATTGTGATCCTTCATAGGATGAATGAAGATTTTATTGACTACATCGAGATGATCTAAATTTAGTGGCACAACTTACAAAAACTTTCCCTACCAACCCATGAACAATCAACAAAATCTTTTTGTTATCTCTTCAAACACTGTCCAAGACTAGAGAGAACAACTCTACCAAATGTACTAATTTTCTTGTATAAGGAAGGGGTCATAATCTCCATGTATGAGAGAATATTCTTGTATTGAAGTCGAATAGACTCCAGGAAGTGCTTGAACATTTCTATAATTAATTCTTCATAATCAAGATTCAATATCACCATAGATAATCTAATTCTTGCAATCATTTCTAGAATTAAGATATATCTAACATGTGATTGCCTCATTCTATCACCTAATATTTTAAATGTAAAAACAATTAGCTTAAAAACCTTTCTATTTGGGCATTCATGATAAGGAACATCTAAAGCAGTTATTTTAGTTAATTCATATATACAGTAAGCAACCTCAAGCTTCACATTGATATTCGAGCAGTAGAGAAGTTGATCACAGATCAGGGCTCTTTAAGCAATAATGCTTAAATTGATCAAAAAGCCAAAGGTCACTAGGTGAATGAGGAAGGTTAGTAATATTTCTTATTTGGGATTGAACTGTATAGCCAGAACTTGTTCTGCTACTGAACTTCGTGCTTGTACCTTTTCCGGCTCTACCAGTTTCTTCTTACATTGATATGCAAGTCCTACATCTTTTGCATCTTGCGATTTCCTCTTACATTGAGACACAAGATCATCAAAACGAAGTTCCATCTATCGTTTCATCTTGTGATTTCTCTGTTGAGTAATCCAGTGTATAATAGTTCCATAGCAAAGTTGGCACTATGAACCCATCATCCACTACTTTCTATAGGTTTTTTTTTTTTTTTTTTCTGAAATACCACTACTTTCTATATGTTGTTATAGAACAAAGCAAAATTCTAAAAGTTTCTACACGTTCTTTCTTAGAATTCCCAACTAACTTATAGCTTCCAAAGGTCTTTCAAGTGAAAGAAAACTGTGTTTTATTCATCAAAGAAAAAAAACAAAACATTAAAAACAAAAAAACAATCCATAACGAGAATTTTTTCATAAAAGATCCATGACAATACTAACATGGAGAAGTAAAAGCTTAAAATATCTTATTAAAGGAAGCCAGTCAAATAAAAAGTACTAGGATTCAACTTCAGAAAAGATCATTGATGCATACTTCCTTTTTGAGGGACTATCAAAAAGTCCCCATCTGCGTTACAGAAGGCACAGTTATCCATTGACTTATTGGCAGTATACCTGCATGTGAGAATATAAATTGCATATTAGAACTCTCGTTAGCCACAAAACATTTCAAGATCACTCAAGATATCTGTTTAGCAGGAATTGAAACTGTATAACCTCTGTGATCTCATAAAAATATCTATGATAAGGAAAACAGAATTAGAATGTGGAGTCTCACAAATTTTGACATGGATGAAAGATGTATGGGCAATCCATATCTGACACGAAGTGAACTAAGATCAGGGAGCTCTTCTGTAGCTGGCCGATAAATAATTTAGCAGAGACTAAACATATCAACTCAAGAACTAGCAAATAATCCATCAAACAGAGAAAGTATATAGATATATATTTATATTTATATTTCAGACGCTATTATCTATTAAGTAAACACATGCTATTTCACTTTATACATGAATGGGTAAGTGATGAACAAATTTGATAAGAATGTAAAACTACAGATCCATGTATGAAGCCCCGAAAAAATTCAGCTTATTGCGGCCCCAATAGCTAATATAGTAGAGGCAAAAAAAAATACAGAATTCATACAAGTGCACATGGTCTCATGATCAGAGAAATTCATGCTTTCATCCTTTCCATGGTTTCTTGTAATGTAAAACACACAAAGATAGGAGCAAGATTCCTAAGAACCGACTCTTCTACAAAAGCATCAAAAAAATAGACAACATACATACATCATTAATTGTTAATGAAAATATAGTCTTGCACATACAAGTGAGAATAAAAAATGAAGTATCTAAAATATCCGAAAAAGCAACAAAACATCAACAAACTTGTTTCCTCAACAAAATTAAATATAAACCAATTTATTTACTGTATATGTCTAGGGGAGCAGACGATAGTTTTGAGATCAGACTATATGCAGGTAACAAAACAATCCTGAAATACCAATTACATGTGAATAGCATATCCATGGCGAAGAAATGAGCTGCCCGCTCCACATATAGTGTATAACCCATCAATGAAATCAGTTGGCGAGTCAGGCGTATCTACAGGCTTCCATCGGAGCTGAGTAGGAGTTGTGCAAGTGTTGGACTGGTCAAACTCACTTAAAAGCTTCCCATGAACTGGTATACGAGGCTTAAATGGTTCGTGCGTGACAGAAGGCTTGATTCGATAGAGCCAACTGCCCAAAACAATTTCTTTCTTCAGAGACCACAGAATTTTAAAATAATAAAATCTCTAGCATGAAAAATTTAACGCCAACTACACATACCAGGTTAGAAAAAATAATAAAAATAAAAATAATAATAATAATAATAGTACCAAACACCCTTGTAAACTTAATGTGATTTAAGGCTACGTTTGGAACAATCAAGGAGTGAGTTATGCCAATTGTCAAACCACAACAATCAGAGTATACTGTTTTCAAAATAATGAAGATAAAAGTTACAGAACCCTTTATAATTTACCCCAAAAGATCCAACGAATTCAAGGTCAACACTGAATGAAATAAACCAATTTACGTGCCGAAGGACATAATTTAAAATTATTACAATCATAACATGAATGAATCTGTTCGCTTCCGCAATCAATTATCATATACAAACACCTTCTCTCCGGAGGCGTACGACGAAATACCGCAATCATAATTATTATTTAAGCCAATCGCCAAAAAATAGCAAATACTGCTCGTTCAAAATCAATTAAAATAAATGTCCAATATAGTACTAAAAGAAAACAACGAGACGAGATACAGGAGATATTAACGTGCGTGCGCGTACCTGCGTTGATTGAGCTTGCGAGGAGATGTGAAGGAAGTGCCAGAGATCTGCTCAGCGTAGAGGCCGTAGGGACAGATGAGAGGACTATTCTGCTCGCGCGGAAGAGCTCCGGCGATCGCCTCAGACGAGAAATGGTTGCCGAATCCCGATTGGTACTCCACATCGCCGACAAAATTCGCGCCGTTGATTTTGCCGACATCTTCTTCTTGTCGTTGTTGCTTTTCCATGACCGAATGGATTCCTCTCCGACGATCAATCGCTTCGATTAGCTCTCCTTGTTCTCTGCAAGTCTGCACGCAGAGATCGAATATACAACTGGGAAAACGGTTTTAACAATGGGGCAGAGAGAGAGGATAAGGACAGAGAAGGGAGATGACGTGGGCCGGTGATCCATTGGATAGTCGTGTGGAACCGAGCAACCTTGTTATAGTATTGCGCGGCAAACACCCAAGTAAAGCCGCCTTATATAATTTGTATATTTCGTAAGTTCGGTAGCAAATGTAGATTTTAGTATTAATATAAAGTTTTATTTAGGTATATTTTGGACCGACACGTGAAGCATTTTCTCTATTAACATTCTCGGACGTTTCAATTATTACTATTATTATTATTACTACTAAAAATATGTTTAGATGATAGTTTATTAACGTACGTCACGTAATTTTTAAAATTATTTTTTTAAATTATTAAATTGTTAATTTCGTATAATTTAAATAAATTTTTTTTTATATTTACATTTATACCCTCATTTTTTTTTCTTTGAAATGCAATGCCTCTTCTTCTTTTATTTAATTGCATATATATATACACACACACTATATTACCACTTTATTTTTTTTATAAAATTTATTTATTTTATTATATATGATTATATATAGACATATATTTATATATTTAATTATATATATATTTGTATATTTAATTATAGATATTTTTTATTTTTCTATTTATTATTACATATAATAAGATATTAATTAAATAGATAATTTAAAAATCAAAGTTTTATCCACCTTAAAACCTAAATTATCATTCAACCCAAATTAAACATCTTCCATTTCAAAATTCAAATCCAAAAAATCCCATAGCCCGTTTAAGCCCAAACCAAAAGCCCAAATCAGAAACACATCAAGACGGCACCGTTTTGGAGGTGCTTCAGTTGTTCGCTTCCTTGTCCCCTTCGGCAGCGTGAGGGGGAGAAGCTGCGAAGAGACAGAGAGGAGCTCGCAGAGGACAGCGGTAGAGAGAAGCTTCGTGTCTCGTGACGTGCTCTGAAGCCTCTTTGGGCTATATAGGAAAATTTTGGAAAAAGGAGGAGGAGATTTTCGGAATAGGAAACAGAGCAGGAGAGAACAGATGCCGAAGAGAAAAGAAGGGTGCTTTAAATTTGAGAGAAGAATTTGAAACTGATGGGATTAGAGTGAAGGATCGAAACAGAGGTGGTTCGGTGAGGGTGTTTCCGGATCTTAAGGAAAAGACAAAGCAGAGAACTTGAGCGAAGCAGAGGTGGAACAGGCGTGAATTATAGTAGGTAAAAAGTTTGTTTTCGTATTTCTCGTCTTTATAAATTGAATAAGAATGAATTGTTAGTTGTTTGATTGAGTTAAATTTGTTTGAGGCTAGCTTTCATGTTTGAGTCATCTTTATGTATGAAACCTCTGTCTCAGTTCTCTTCTGCTTCAATTCTGAGTCTTAAGGAATTAAGCTTGCTGTGTAATTGACAGGGTCTTCTCTGGTGCTTAGTTGTATTTTGGTTGCTTAATCTTTTGTGATTTCTTGGACCTTTTTCTTTCTCGGTGTTTTGAGAAATTCTGAAATGCAAAATCAGTCTATATCTATATATATCCTGTTTGACTTGAATGTGAAGGAATTGAGTCTCAATCATAAGACACACTGTTCGCATATAATTGATCCTTTAACTTACTAATTTCGCGAGCTACTTTGGGTGATTTGTTCTGGGTTGTTTTAATTAATACAAACAACTCAATTTACTTATGGGGTCTTGCGTACTGTCCTAGGCTTTGAAATAAGGAACAATGGGCTATGTGGGTATTGATTTGGCATGCTACCTTTTGTTAGTGATTAAATCTTCAATTGTATGCAATATAGATGATAATACTTGCTGTCCAGGAATGCTTCAGTCCATCAAAATTTTTAGCCGGGTGTTTCAGTGTGGAATATACTCAACTTTGATGCGTGGGTGTGATGTTTGATTAAGTTTAAAAATGGAATTTTGAAGGTGGAGGACGGCACGCCAAAATTAAAAAGATTCGTCACAACAATTGCAACAAAATGGTTTCTTGTATATGCTTGCCGTCGACTTAGGACTTTTAGTTCAGATCGACTTAGGAACTTTGGTTGGGATGTCTTTTCTTGGATTCTTCCGTCTCCTTTTTGTGTATACTTAGTGGTGTCTTTACATTTTTAATTTAAAGCAAAAGTAGGAAATTTTTAGATAGCTCAAAAAACCTATGCTACCGGATGGGTGCCTTACACTTTCCTACCTGAGACCATTTTGCAAACTGAATTTTCTCTAAGATTGACCCATGTGCGTTTTGGGTGTTCAATCCCACCTTAAATGGATCAATGACGACTTATTAGAGTTTATTGAAAATTCTTATTTTGGCGGAGTTTTACATTGCGTCATGGTTGTGATAGGATTTGTGAAAGCTGCATGGGGCTTATATGTTGTTCGTGAATTTATAAGCTGATTGAGTATTTAAAGTAGTTGATTTCTTTTCTCTTTTCTTTTAAATAATTATTTTGTTTGGTCCTGAAGTGCGTGCTTGGAGAGAGGTCCGCATATTTCAATTTGTTTTAGTCTGCATGTTATTTTACTTTATTTCTTGTCTTTTCTAATTTTACTTTTGGTCTTAACTGAAAATAAGTGAACCAAATTATTTAAAACTGTGTCACTGGTTGGGACCCCTCCCCTTTCTGTTTCATTTTCGTACTTTGTTTCTTTTAATTATATTAATAGTTGTTTTAGGTGTCTAGTTGCACCTTAAAAGAACTAGGGCTGATCCCTTTCAAATTTATTGAATTTTTTTTTTCGGAGACACCTTTGCGACAGATATCAGTTGAGCAATGCTAATAAATATCTAAATTTTTCGTTCATGTGATTTAATTTGAGGTCCTTAGTGAGGGGCACGTGTCATATGGTCTAGATACTTTTTTTTAATCCCACCAACTGTTTGATGAGAATCTTCTTATTAGTTATAGAAGATGCTTGGTTCCTCTGTTATACCACTGGTTTTTCTTTTTTAGATGAGATAGATGGAAACTATATGAGATAGTTGTTCTTATAGTATGTGGCTGAGATAGATGTTCTTGTGCAATAGAGATGCAGATAATGGAAAGAAAAAAAATGAGGGTGTGTTTTTTCGTGTCTTGGCTTGTAAAAGGCTTTGCGTAGTTTTTTCGCTTCTCTTTTCTGTGTCTGTGTTTTGAATATAGATTGTAGTCCAATGTACCTTGATTTAAGATGGTTGTCATACTATTTGGAGTTTTATTCTCCAATTAATTCATGGTTGGGAGTTTGGATTGAGATTGATCATGCTTGAAGGATATCGTATTTTAGTGAAGTTTGCTAAGAAGAGTGGCTGTGCATTGGGTGTGGATTCCCAGAGGTATTGCGATCAACTCCTACATACAGCACATTTCCCCCATTTTTTCTTTCCAATGGATATAACACAATCAAGGTATTTACTTAGTTTAGTGGATAGTAACCTATATGATTTTGTGAACACTTGTCACCAAGCTAATTGGTTGAAAGTCAGACGCCTTTCTAGATTTGCTCTTTTAGGAACTACAGTAATAAATATAGAGTTCATATTCATATATTTATTTTACCATTGGTGAAGAACTCATCGAAAACACTAATAAGGTAAATATTTTTTGTACATGGGTTGACATCCTCGTGTTGCTTGTATAGTATATTTTATGTTATATTTTTTATCTAAAAAATAAAGATTTTTTGCACATAGAAAACTTTTGGCCATTTAACAATTATGCAAATGGATAGGCGCCTTACCTCTTTCCATCCAATACCATTCTGGGACCTACTTTTCTCGTTTTTAGATTACTGTGTTTGGATGATTGATCTAACTTTTAATTGGATCTATGGCATGCTAAGGTCTTTTCTCTAAAAATTGTTGTTCTTTTTTTTAGAGCCACACACATCACAAGGGTAAGATTCAAGAGGTAGAGTAGCACTAGATGGAAGTTTTAGAGTCAATAATGGAGGAAATCACCATAGGAGGAGAGGAAAATGAGGAAAAGCATGAATCTCGGAAGAGGAAGTGCAGTAATAGAATCCAAGGGGATGATTCTCTTATCTCTGATAAGCTCGACAACAGAATAATTCGATCATTGACGAAGCCATCTTATCTTCTAGGGCTTGGCCCTCGCTCGAAGAGCTTTCGCTGGGAGCATCGTGAGAGGTTGCGCAAGATCCTGTGTGAACTCTTGGGTCAACACAATTGGAAAGAGGCAAGCGGTGTGCTAAGCGTTCTATTACAGGGTACTAAGAGAGAGAAATGTCCTCTATTGAACCGTTTTAAGTATTCGGTATGAGCTCGTTACTCCAGATTTTTTTGGTAACGTATTTAATGTGCATTAACAATAAAAAGGAAATATTTGTAGGCTGCAATGGAGCTTCTCAAGTATGTACATGGTGAGAATGTCAACCCATTACGGATGAAGAACATATACGATACTTGGATTAGCAGGACAAGTTCCAGGAAAGATGTACCCATAGAGGTATTTGTTAGACTTTTTTTTTTGTTTACTGTTGTACGAACTGGACTATTTTATGTGCTCATGTGTTCATGATTTTAGCAATATATTATATATTCCACAACACAGACGGGTTCATATCCTTTAGATTGGTTCATCTGTGCACTCATGTAGATTGGTGTTTACTAAAGATTTGCTTGTTGTGCAGGATAGATCTTTGGTTTATTTGGAGCAGATTCTTTTCTTTCTTTTGCAAGGGGATGAGGAGGATGCATCTCAGGCTGCATCCAGGTATTTTCTCATCCAGATATGGCTTACTAATTTGTGCACATGCTGAAAAAGTTGAATAGCATAATACTTACTTTTATGGACACTTGATCTTATAGTTGCCTAAAATAGTGTTAATTGAAGCAACTTTAGTTGCAAGATTTTCGGCATGCTTTAAGACACAACACACACACGCATGCTCATATGTAAATTACTTGGTTTATTGTGCTTATCGCCTTTTCATGCTTAAGAATTCCTAATTTTCTATTGCACTACTCTGTCTCCTTATTTTTGTCTCATCTAACACAATGTGATTCCAATAACCAAAAATTTTCGTTATGTTGTGAGGCTCAAGAATTTTGGAATGCAAGTTGGTCTGTGTATGAATCAGATGCTTCATGAGATAGGATGACCTTAAATCTTAAGGCTACTGTACAAGGAGTTTCTCTATTGTGACAAAGCATAAGTTAAATATTTGCCTTCTTAATTGGCAAATATGCTAAAATAATCTTGCACGGTAATTCTTTTTAATCATACATGTAGAATCATAGTGAAAGCATGTTGACTCTGTTTGGATATAACATGGGTAAATTTGTGTAGTTGCAAATAGATTTACCTATTCTTGTTTCCAGAATTGCACTGAATTTATGTTTTGAATTCTAATAATGAATCTCATTTTGCAGTTCAGTAGGCAAAAATCTGATAATGATTCTTATATATAGATATTGTAATACAAATTTAAGGAACATCTGAATTACTTATGCTGTTTTTTTTTTTCCAGCCTGATGCAGCGTCATGACTTTGAGAACCACCCTTTGTCATATATGGTTTTGGGCTTAACTTTCTATCAGCTGTGGTACTCTAAATTCCTGAAGGAGATTAATTGTGAAGATGCTGGTCAACTTGACAGCCCTAGTCAATCCAACACGTCAGGAACTAGATTCAGCAATCAAGTTGGGTCAATTTACAGTCATGAAACTAGGACTATCATGAGACATGATTCAGAAACCTCCATAATGAATGACAAAAGGATATCCATGGAGTTCGAAAAGAACCAAGACAGAGCAGTTTCTATGGACAAACTGGAGAGAGAGAATCTCCCACAACTCAGCAACCCATTTGGCTTTTCTGTGTCCTCTGATGAAAATCCAGGCTCTTTCCATAGTAATGTGGCTCATAAATATGATGCTTCTTTTTTCTCTGTTCTTGGTGAGTTTCAATTTCTTTTGTGTGTATTCTCCTTTGTACTACTAATTTAATATGTTGGTAGGTATTTCTTTACCTATGCCTGCATGTTACTAGGTAGATCTATAGGATATAGTTGTCTCTCATCTTGCAACTCTCTCTCTGAAATTCGAAATTTTCAAGGGCCAAGTCGCCACTGGCATTGAGGCAATTATTGCTCTTATTTCACTAGCTATTTTTTGGGTTATGCTGAGAGAGAAAACGAGAGATTTTCACAGGCTACAGGCTACTTGATAAGAGCTTTTTCTTTATGCGTTCAGCTTTTCCATATATTTACAGACAGTGGCAGTGACTCACTTAACCAATGCTTCAGTGGTTACCCTATTTCTGATTTTTTTCGAATTAGGGACCTCATCCATAGATTTTTTGTATTTATTGTATGGATGACACTCCCTTGGTTTCTTGTGAGTAATACTCTTTTCTTATTCAGAATGGCCTCCCCCACTGGGGGTGGGCGGGAAGAGATCCTGAAGTGAAGGCTAGCCCAGGGATTTTTTTTTTTTTCTGAGAGTACCCTAAGGATTTACTGGACCAAGAAACAATTTATGAGCTAGTTTAGCTGCTGTAGGCATACAGAGGCATAAACATGTGAAGGGGATTCGAACTTATGAACACAACAGTAACATATGGATCCAAGGATTTAGGTTTAGCCATGATGAATTTATTTGTCCTATTTTCTTTTGTAGAAATTGCCAGAACCTGAAATCCTTTTAGTTATTGCTAATTTTGTGAGAGGAAAAGATAGGATAAAAATGTACCAAGGGGTGTCACTTGTGTTAGTTAAAAAGAGAAGAGATCCAATAAATTGAACATGTTGACCATATCCACCTCACCTAATGCAGCATGCTTGAACAAAATACAGAGCTTCCTAAGGAAATGATCCTTGGTGGAAGGAAAGGGAGAGGAGATATAAAACGTTCTGCAGTTTCTTCCCTCTAAAATGACCTAAAAAGTAAAAAAAGGGAATGAGGTTGATGAATTTCTTGTCTGCTTGGTTATCGGGCTGCCACTCAGTCCTCAATAGACCCACTGATTGCCAAAGACAAGTTGAGGAGGTTGAGAACTGGGTCCCAAAATCTACTAAACACCATACATTAAAAGAAGAATATGGCTGACGGATTCACACTCAAGCTGGTATTTTCTTTACTCCTCAGAATCAACCTATAAAAATCTGTGTCAAATAAATTGCCACTTTCACTAGAATAGGACAAAGGGACATAAAATAAATAGGGAGATCAGAAAGTGCTCTCTTAATTTAAAGTCTTGTGCCCTAAGCAAGGTAGATCCGCTTCAACCTAGTCAGCCCCTTCTCCATCTTACACACATAAGGGACCCAAATAGCTGCCTTCGTGACTTTGGCACCAAGAGGAGGCCGAGATACTTGATAAGGTTAATTGGTAATTTTTGTAGAGATGATATGTTGTCGGGTTCTAATATTTTCTTAGAGCAAGTTTCGGCAATATGATTTGCTGTTAGGATCTAGTATTTGGTTGGAGCAAATCTATTGTTGTCTTTTGCTGAACTGAATTGAGCCACTTCTACTGAAAAATATCACGGAAAAGCATTTTATTGCCTTCGTTCTTTTTTTTTTTTTCAAAAAAAATAAATCAGATGTACATATCTGAAATATTTAGAAGCTGTTATTTTGGTGGAGTTATAACCTGTTCAGTTTCAACTTCCCTTCTGCTTAAAATTCTTCAGGATGTTCTTAAAGTTGATAATTTCTTGTTACTTTTGTTTTTTACTAGCATATATATTTTCATCAAATCTTCTGAAAAACTATATCTTTTTAAAATATATTTGGATCATATAATGCATATTGAAGTTTTGACTTGTGTTGTTTAAGATGGCCTTGCTTCATGGTTGTTGCCCTTGCGATTACCTCAAAATCCTGAGTACCATATGCAAATGCTTAACGATCCTTATTATAAGGATGCCGTGAAGCATCTGCGACTTGCTCTTTATTCAGTGCCTCCTATATTGGCCGCCTTACATCCTCTAATTCAGGTAAAATAATATATATAATTTTTTTATATGAAAGGAATGCATGTTTATTACATTTGTGACACATTGATTAAATCTGTGCCAAGTGCATAGGAAAGTCGAGAATTGAATTAAGTTGTGATTATTTAATTCATAATGCTTAAAATTGAATTACTGTTTGTACGAGGTACAAAAATTGAGGGTTGTGACACTTGATATGAATGATAATTGTAAAACTACTGTAGACAGTGAGATCAGGCTGCCCATTTTCACGAATAAGTTCAGCATTTTGTATCATAAATTGAGAGCATGGGGTTTTACAGCACCAAATCAGATTTATATCCTCTCTCCTGCAATTATTTTCTCCTGCAATTTCTTTATACATTTGTGCTGCACTGATGTATGAATCACATTGGTCATATACACATGCTAAAATTAACTTGGTGACAATTGAACCTAAAGATTTTTTTCAAATTTAAGAATCAAACATTGTCTAAAAGAATTCCAACTTTTAATATTTGAGTCAAATGACACTGCTTTCCGTTTCCTCTATCCTGTGCTTGCGCTCCCTGGTACATCCACAACAACTGGTTGATAATTATACTAATTTATGGATAATACTAATGCATGGATAGTTCAATCATCCACTTATAAAATAAAGATATTTTTCAAGTTGAGTATGTCAGTATGTAGTATGTACTACTGTCTGCTTTTCGAGACTATCCTTTTCCTTGCAAGGGGAAGCTGTGAAACCTTTGCAAGTTTTAACCAAATAAACAAGGCTGAAAGTCTTAAGGTGTTTTAGGCTTCTCCTGAAACTTACTTCAGGTTGTCAAAATTTTTTTTCCTTCCACATCACTGCAATAGTAGATATCTGCAAGATTTCTTTAACACCGGTGGTTGCCCCCAAATCTTTCTAGTTGATTCAGTTCAAGCATTGCTGATGCTTTTTCATTTCTTCCTGAAGAGACAAATAGGCATCCAAGGGTCTTTCTCCCAATGACCTGGAGATTTTTTGTTTCACATGGTTTTTGTGCTGCAAATGTTCCTCAGATGTCAGTTAATCCATTTTATGGCAAGGTTTATGAAAGGTTCACTTGTGGAAAGAAGAATACGCAAGAGTTTTAGCTAAGTGTCTAATTCTATGCATTATTTTATTTATTTGTTTGTGGGAAGTGTGTCTTGTCTCATTTAGTGTTGCGTCAGTTATTGTTGGTTATTAGGCAGCTTTTTATGTTTGAAAAAGTATTATGGGTCTACTACTCTTTTGTAGTTATGATCCTAATTAGTAGTAACTGTCCTAGGTTAAGGCCATCTATTCAGAGAATAAAATATGCAGAATATTATTTAATTATTTAGTCAGTACTTTGAACTCCAGGAGCCATTCTGGTCTCTTTTAATTAGTCCAGACATTCAATCAAATAAGGTCAGACAGGAAGGTAAAACCATAAATTTTTTGGTTCTTCATCCTTAGGCTTTGGTATGCAAGGATTCATAACTAGATCCAGGGCACAGGATTCTAATGTTTTGTATATGTGCTTGGTTATTGGTAATTTTCTTTTTGGGGTATAAAAAGGAGAAATATTGTTACAAAAAAAAAAAAGAGAAATACAGAAAGGAGAAGGGATCAGTCAACGGCAACCTCAAAACTAGAAAGAGTAAGGGGAAAGAAAAAGGAAAGGAAAATCATTCACGATATAATCTCAGTTGTCTAGTCACTTTGCAAAGTAATTAAGAAATCCCCAGAAATAGACCTAAGACTAAACCCAAAGAAGACTCCAAAAGAACTAGTCTGTCCCACAGCAAGGAAAAAAGGGGATTGGAATCAATTTTTGATAACTTTTTACATTTTCTCCAACCACAACATACACAATCCAGAAAAAGAAGCTTCAGTAACATTTTTTTTCATCCTTGCTCACACGACATTATTCTGTTGATGATATACATAGAAGCCTTTAGCTGTCTACTAGAAATTATTAGGTTAAGGCTTATCAACCATTAATTTTAGGTGCCAAATTTTTCAGTTAATAGTATATCTAAAGGATTTTCCTTGAGAATTAGAACTGCAACTACTTACATATGCAGTACACTTTGAATCATTACCTCTGCATTTCTCGGCTTTCGAAGGAGTCGAATCTGATTTTAACATCATTAAGAATAACTGATTTAACTATTTTGGTTCTTATATTTTAGGGCATAACGTTGATTATTTTGACGATTTAGGTAAATTTGTAGATATGCTAATCGAGATGTAAATTCTGTATATGGGGGGTGCTCCCTTAACACCTTTTTATATTAATACTACTCTTACTTTTATTTCAAAAAAAAAAACCTCTACATTTCTCTTTTTTTTTTTTTTGAAAAAAACCTCATTTCTCTTTTATATTCCCACAAAAAGGTTCCAGGAAAACTTGGGGGATGTTACTTGGATGCCTTTGGTATTTTGAGTATGTTTAAAATTGTTGGAAAAAATGTATTTAAAGTAATATGATGCTTTAAATTATTTAAATTCCTATTTAAAAAATTAACAGTTGTATCTTTGGATAAAATATTGATTTAAAAAATAAAACTGATATTTTTAATAAACAGTTATTATTAAAGGAGGATACCAAGAGAGTAACTATGGAAATTAGTTAAATAATAGATAAAAAACCTGAAAGTTAGGATTAGAGTGAAAGTCGCTTTTGAGAACCTAATCAACATTCTACATTTTATGCTATCAAATAGAATTCTAGTACATGGTACGCAAGCTTATGCTATCAAATGCAGATATTAGTACATGGTACTTAAAACTGTCTATGAGCAATAAATAAGCAATCTCAAATATGCTTATGAATATTCTGTATGTTGTGGGTATTGTAATTCGGGTTTTTGCTTGAGTAAAAACTATCATCCTCAGATTTTCCTACTTTGTGCCAGTTATTGCTAATTGGAGGTCAAATAGACAGTGCAATGAATGAAGTTGAGAAGTTCTGTCATAATTCAGATGCGGCATTTGCTTTTAGGTATGAAGTTCTTTTCCAAGACTTTTGCTGTTATCGAAGAAATTAAAGAAGATTGGCAGGGATGTCAAGAACTAAAATATTCCATTTGGCTAGAGAAGAATTGAAAAATATATGCATAATTTCCCTTGAAATCATTCTGAAAGGATTAATAGGAATGTTTGTCTTTTTTCCTTATAAACGCATGTGCTTTGTGCAGAATAAGGACTGCTATTCTTGAGTGTTTCAACCACAATGATCCTATGCTTTCAAAGTATTATGAAGACATATTAAAGAAGGATCCAACATGCAATCATTCACTGGAGAGACTTGTCAAGATGCATCAAGATGGTATATCATTCAAGAACTAATCTTGCTTGTTTAAACCATTAACTATGCCTCACTTGTTCTTGATGGTGATGTTGTCATTCTTCTTACATATTTCAGGTCTAGTGTTTTGGTATCCAAGTTATCTTTACTTATTGTTGATAAATGGAATAACATTATAAATCTTTAAAGTCCTCTTATTTGGCTGTAGGCTGATGCATAGCTTTCTTTTCTAGCCATTTTAAAAAGATTGTAGTCAACATTTGTCCTGGAACTTTAAGTGCAGAAAATTGATTTCATTCCTTCTCATGTGTTTTTAGCAGTATTTAAGAATCCTTAATCATATGTAAACATTCTGATTTTTTATTATTCAGATAATTTACAGATGATGAAAAAGATTAAGATTGGCACGAGTAATAATCTATATTTGGGTTCTAAGAATGATACTCACCCAGGAAGTCTGTGAAACCAAATTTGAACTGTTTTAAAGTTCAAATTTTGTTTATGTACTTTCACATATTAAAACCACATTTCCAGTAATGGTATAAATATTTCCTTCCTAACAAAATCTTCAAACTTTCTCACCTTGTAATTTGGTGTCTTCTGGTCAATATCAGATATAAGCTCCTTTGTCTTTTTGGTCATAGATATCTGTGTTTGCATCTGAGGAAATATGTTTATTTTAATTCTCTTTTTGGCACCCCTTGCTAGTACATAGACTGTGAAAATGCTGAAGCTCAAAACCCTGGATGTTTGCACCTGTTGTCACGGTCCTTTGTTTGGATCTGGTTAAGGGGCCTGAGAGTGGAAAGCCCCGAAGCAAGCTGGCTGGTGCTTACCAGATTTTTGCCGGTTCTGGCCTATGTTGAGGCTCTTAAAGACAACATCCAATATTTAGAGTATATCTCCGATGTTAGCATTAATAGCTAACGAGCTTTATTGATAACAATAAACATATATGGAAGGAAGTTCTAAGAATTAGTATATTAGACTAATAGGGTTCATGGACCTGCGAGATCAAAAATCCAACTCCTAAAATAGAATAAAATGTGCACAAAACCTAGGTAGAGTCCTAATTCAACACCTATCAGTTCCTACAAGAACCTTAATGTTTAGCAAGGTCATCGTGCACGATACAAAGGACAACCCTATAGAGTCTGATAATATTTCCTGTCTCTACCGTGGGTCCCTCGTGCATCGACTTTTGCAGAAAACCTGTCGATTGTAACATTTACCCTCTCCTTGAAATCTTCAAGTGCGTGTTGATTGGTGTGCATTTACCATTTGTTATATTATTTTTCATAAATTATTTATGGCACTATAGTCTGATATGCTTTGTCTAAATTCTGCAGGGGACTATAGTGCAGAATCCCTACTGGAAATGATAGCTCTGCATTTGGATGCTAGCCATGCCGAATGCACCATATGGAAAGAATTTGCTTCATGCTTCCTTAAACTCTCTCTGCGTGATGAGGATACTCTATCAGCATGTCTGGATGGCAATGATGGAGTGCAAAAGCAGCGGTTTTCCGTCCGTTACAATAGGACACCAGAAATATTTACTGAGAGGAAATCAGGAAAGGCTTGGAGGCTAAGATGTAGGTGGTGGCTGAAGCGTCACTTCAGCAACAACATGCTTGCATCAGAAATTGTAAGAGGTAATTCAGTGTCCTTTTATCATAGAGATACTTTGCTGTTTACCACCTATGGCCTAATGCATTATACTAGTTTGGGTTTCCCTGCTCGAACCAATAGATCATACATATAGACAATCGACTGCAGCTTTATATGGCAATTCCACCTATGCCCAATGCTTAATTCTAGCTTTTAGCGTTTAGTAGTCTCATTCTGCTGCGATTAAGCTAACTCGCCGTAAATTTGCAACAGGTGACATGCAGCTCCTAACGTATAAAGCAGCATCGGCATCCCATATGTATGGACAAGAGTTCGGCTATGTTTTAAAGGTGTACAATTTGTTAGAGAATCAAAACGATAGGGACTTGTTCATGTTCTTGAAGATGCACATGCTGTATTCCATTAGAATTCAGCAAAGCTTGCAACAGAGAACTACTTTATGAATTGTTGTTTCAGTTATTTAATTAAATTAATTTTATGCATCATATAATCCTATAGTTTGGATGAGTTCCTGGTAGTTTTCCAACAGGAGATTGCATGGGAGCTACAAAAATATGTGAAATCTGTGAAGGGTTATTTTTATTAACCCGAGATTTTGCAATATTGTTCGCTAGAAGTGTTTTTAGTCAAAATTATTTTAAGACGTGATAAAAATAACTGTAGAAAATGTTGTTATTTAAAATATATATTTTTTAAAAAAAAAATTATTTTTGAGATTTAAAATTTTTCTTAACATTGGAAATTATTTTTTAAAAATTAATAATAATTTTTGTATTTAAATTTATTAAAAATATAATTTGATCTTGACATATGATAAAAAAAAATTCTTAAGAATTAAATAAAAAATTAATTTTACCATACAAAATATATAGAAAATTATTCACAAATTGATGTATAATATTGTACAAGGAAGGTTCCAAATTTTATTCTAAAGATATTTTCTTTGTTAGAATTTATGAAATATGTTACTGATACATAAAGATTAATTTAATATTAGGTCAAAAAACACCAATGAGTTCTTTGTTCATAACGTTAAATAATGTTGCAAACAGAAATTACTGAGCCTGAAAGTCAAGAATATCCGAAAAAACTTGATCACCTAAATGGTCGGTGTAACAATAAAGGAGAAAGTAATGTTAAAGAGTATTTCAGATGAAGATTGCTGAGTTTCTAGATCAAAAAATACCAATGAGATCTTCGCTCATAATGTTAAAGAGTGTTGCAAATAGAGATTGATGAGTCTAAAAGTTAAGAGGATCCAAAAAAATTTGATTACCCAAATAGTCGTTGCAACAGTTAAAGAGAAAGTAATGTTAAAGAGTGTTGCAGATGGAGATTACTGAGTTTCTAAACCAAAAAATACCAATGAAATCTTCATTCATAATGTTAAAGAGCATTGCAAATGGAGATTGCTGAGTCTAAAAGTTAGGAGGATCCGAAAAAACTTGATTACCCAAATGGTCGGTGTAATAGTTAAAGAGAAAGTAATGTTAAAGAGTATTACAGATGAAGATTACTGAGTTTCTAAACTAAAAAATACCAATGAAATCTTCGCTCATAATGTTAAAGAGTGTTACAAATGAAGATTGCTGAGCCTAAAAGTTAAGAGGATCCGAAAAAATTTGATTACTTAAATGGTCGGTGCAACTGATACTTTTTCTGTAAATATGATATATCTCGACGTCCCAATCACGTTTTAAATAAGTCTGTATCATTTGAACCGAGTGAGAATTAGTATCGATGTGAACTCATTTATGTATAATCCCTTGAATTAACAAAATAATAATAATAATAATTAAAAGTATATTATATATATATATATAAATATATATGCTAAAAGCAATTAAAATTGTACCCTTGGGGGAGTGGTGGAAAGGCTGTGGGTAATGAACTTATTTTGTCCATACATATAAAAAAAAATTGAACTTTACTGAATTTATTAATTACAACTTAAACTAATTTTAATTATGTATAATATTTATACATATATGTGTAAGTATGCGTATGTATATGAATGACTAAAATATATAGAAATAAGATATTCAGAAAATTGTTGTTGATCTACATATGGTAATTAATTAAATATTTAGATACATAGTCGACATATATTTTTAAAATATATAAGTATATATAGTATAATGTATTTGAGCATAAATTATTTATTGTGGTTTCTTAAAATATATTAATTAATATAATTATATCAAAATATATTCAATCTAATCTTTTATTATATTTCTAAAAATGAATAGTTAAAAAAAAAGAAAAATTAATTAATTTTTAAATGATGCATATATATATATCATATTATATATATAATTATATCAAATTTAATTTGCAAAAATTATTATTATTATTATTATTATCATTTATAAGCCTATAAAATAAAATCGAATTGGGCCTAAAACCCGACCCGTATACCCATGGATCTTATTCACGATCACGCGTTGCCTTTTCCTTACGACCATCTCCAAATTTGAACTTCTGAGTCTCTCTCTCTCTCTCTCTCTCTCTCTCATTCATGTCACCAACCTCCACAATCTGATTCATTTTTTTTCAAAACCCATCCGTTTCTATCGAGAACCCAAGCTACCAAAGCGGTCCGGGAAGAGAGAATGGCGGCGTATAGAGCAGATGACGACTACGATTACTTGTTTAAGGTCGTATTAATCGGTGATTCGGGTGTTGGCAAATCGAACTTGTTGTCGCGATTTACAAGGAATGAATTCAGTCTTGAATCCAAATCCACAATCGGAGTGGAATTCGCCACGCGGAGCATCCGTGTCGACGACAAGATCGTCAAGGCCCAGATTTGGGACACCGCTGGCCAGGAAAGGTGTATCTCTGTTTCTCAAACGTTTTTCCTTTTCTCTTATTTCGGATTTTAGTTTTCTGTTTTATGGGTGAGAAATGGTGGGGAAGGAAATTGTTGAAATGGTGGTTTCGGTGTCAATATCTGCTTTTTGGATTTCGTTGGTTTTTAAGAGAATTATGGGAAAATGATCCGACTTTTCTGTTTTTTGTTTTGTTGCCGAGAACGTGAGGATTCAAGTTTTAGGTTTCCAATGTTGTTGTGAGTGGAGTTTCGGAGACTTACATGTGTTTGGTTGGTTATCTGAGAGTAGCTGATGGAATTTTGTGATTTCTGTTTGAGTTGGGACGTGGGAGGATTTTGGAATTTGCGCATTAATTTTGAGACATTGTTCATAACATCTGTTTCTTTGATCGAGTTTATTTTTCAGAATTTGAGTTCGTGTTGTGTTTCATTGTCAAGAATAATGCAAGGAAAATTTTAACTTGTAAGTGAAAGAAATTTGGAATCGAGTGTAGATCGGTAGCTTGTTTCCTGGGGAAATGTTTGGAAAGCGAAAGGCTTTTCATCTTTTACCCTCTTTGGTTTCTTGGAAATTTATGTTAAATGATTTATAAGTGGGAAATGTCTAAAATTGGGTGATATGGGGAGCTTGTTTCCTAAGAAAATGTATGGAAAGCGATACGCTTTTCAGTTTTTCCCCTTTTTAGTTTCTTGGAAATTTATGATAAACAACCTTCCTATTTTAAATTTAGATTTAGGTTCAATTTAGATTTAAGATTTCTGAGCTTTTCCGTTTCTTGGAAGTGTTTGCAACTGATGAGATTACATTTTTGTTTCTAAATTTGTTCCTACACTCCGTACTGGATTTTGGTAAGGAGAATGTAATTGTTTATAAATTGAGAGCATTATCTTTTTTAGTGGTTGGACTATGATTTTCTGGTTCCTGTCAGTTTCAAATCAATATTCGATCTTCAATGGTAGTTGTAAACTCCAGCTGTAAGGGTAGTGTTCTTGGTACGTTGGACTACAATGAGAGACTTAGGATAAACTTGATGCGATTTGGACCTGATTTCAAATTGAGGAAGTTATTTATTGTATTTTGAATACTTGCCTAATTGTACATGATGCATTTCCAAGTTCTAACTTTATAAGAATTTTGAGCTGCTTGCTCCTTTTTTTTCTTTTCTTTTTTTTCCCTTTTTGAGAAGGGGTGGAACTAGGATCTGAACTCGAGTCATTGAGCTCCAAAAAGGTAGCCTCGTGCTATACGAGCAAGATACTCCTGGCTTGTCCAGACTCCATACTCCAGACTGTTTACACTCCCATTTTTCAGATTTTCCGCAAACGCCTTTTTAGAAATCAGGCAATTGTTTATTTAAAATAATAAGAATAATAAATCAGGTGATTGTACAGCTTGAGACCGACTTTCTTTTATAACACTATTTACTTTGAAATTGGAATAAAGGATATCCTAGAAAAATGAAAATGCAATACAAGAAGTAGAACAAGAAATTCTCTTTCTTTTGTGGTGACCATGGCTACAAAACCAATATATTACAAATATAATGTTGACGTTGATCTCTGTTCTCCAAAATCTCAAAGTTTATTTCTTCCTTTCTTTCCCAGCTATATAATTCATTTAGAAATCAAATATCCAATATACTAGTATTTTAAGGTGTTGTTACAAAATTAGATAGACTATTTTTTCAGTGACCACTTGTTTTCATGAATGTCAGGATAT